TCATATTTCTAGTTCGATCGAACCTCGAACCGCTTCTTGTCACCGTCTAAACTTCCATCCCACAATACCAAAGACCCGGCGTGCTTCGAAAGAAGAACAGCCCGCAAAGTCTGCCGCTCGTTGCACTTTTGTCCGGGCCTTTGACTCGAAACGTTGATTTCTCTCTTTTCTTCTCCCGTTGTTTTCTTTCGCCGAGATACCGCTCTTCGTCGACTGGTTATTCCTCTCGCGCCCGTCGCTTAAATAAACTACCGACTCGCCTCGAACGGCATTACTGTCTCCCTTTACGACTTTATAGACGCGACTCCATTGTCTCTCGCTCCAAGCGAATTCTCGTTCCGTTCGTTCGAACTGTGCTCAAAGTTGCGAAATAGATAGTTATTCGATATATAGGTCATCGATCGGAGTAACAGCTTTTTATGCTCGCGCTATTCTACCTCGTCACCGCGATCACGAAACTTCGTGCTTCGATTCCCTTCTAGGGACTTCTCTGTGTGATTTATTTTTGTAGGTCTGTATCGTAGGTTCCGCGCAACATTGTCTCGGGTATTTTACTATCGCTCTTACTCGCTCGGTGGGATCATTTGGCGCTTAATCCTTAGCGATCACCTCGCGACATAGTTTAGACTCGGTTAAACGAAAAAAAAACAGAGTATACGGACGATAGCGTGCTCCATCGATGGGAACTCGAACGTTTGTTAACAATAAGGATAAAAAGAATCGATCAATTTCGAAGCGAGTCGACGGCACGGTGACGTTACGAGGAAACATACCGAGACATAAATCGCGAGCCGAATTTGCGTCTGAACTTAATCCTTGATTGTGCCACGCCTTCTCCGTTTCTTTCTTTACGCCTTCGTCTCGAAACTTTCGTCTCCCTTTCTTTCTTTCTGCCTCCTCTTCCTCGTGTAGTCGGTTCGGGCCACAGGCGTCGGCCATCTCGCGCCATCATTTAAGTAAATTACTGGCTTGCCGTGCACGGAACGACACTGTTGTATAGTCGCCATTATTTTCGTACAACGTTGCGCTCTTCCCTTTTCCAGTTCCGGTGACGCATGTCCTTCCCCAAACGTTCTCGAGGCTCGTCGAACCACGACGGAAACGAGCAACCGCGAGATCGTAGATACCAGGAACGATCCGTGGTTTTTCGATGTCTGGACGCGAATCGAGCGCGTCACGTCTTTTAACCTTTTCCCGAGTAAATATTCGACGAGGTTTTACTCTTCGACACGTTCGAGTTGCGGGAACGGAGCGAATCCTGCGAATCGAACGGAAAGACGACGGCGCGGGCTCGGAAGATCGGTCATCCTTGTCAGAAAAGCCTCGTAGCTTTCAAAAATGGCCGACATTGCGCGGCTGACATTTCCCTAAACGTCTATCGCGATAATACGGGTTTAGGTCAGAGGGTGTGGCCTCGCCAGATTGATTCGGCGAGCTCGCTTCTGCGCGCTACGCTTCGTTACCGCGAACACGTATGGCTGCTTTCCTTGTCACGGTTTTTCATCCATCTTTCTTGTCCCATTTGGCCCGAGACCCGATAAATAGACCGAACGATAAAGCTGTCGCTATATCGCCGTTGAATTCATCCGATGATTCGCTTTCGATAATTATGATATACGACGGGAGCCGCGGAGAAGGAGCGTTTCCGTTTCACGGTTGGCCACATCGGACTTGGACGAAATTTCATTCGAATAATAGACGTTGCATAAAAACAGAGGACGGTGATTTATTCCCGACGTTTATTCGATCGAATACTCGGATGGGTATTTTTCATTTGAAAAAGAAACTGCCGTGGACTGTCGCTCGGGGACGAAATTCCACGCTTTCTTTTACGGCCATCCGTGCTCGAGACTTCGTTTGTTCCGGCAGGTACCGCGTCACCACGCTTTCTTTCACACTTTTTCGCTTTATTCAGCGAACGCGCAACGTAGAAACATCGGTCCCGCGTTTAAGGAGAATATGGACGGCGACTAATGTCTGACCAGAACGTCTGACCAGTACGACTCGCGACTCCTGCAGGACCGGGTCAATTTTCTCAGGTCGATCGCACACGGGCACAACTTATCAGTTTCACACCGCTCCGAAACTAAATACTAAACTAAAACGAAATTAAAACGGTTTCCAACACTAATTTCCAATCGGTTGCGCCCGTGTGCGTTCGGCCCTACTTTGAATAATCTACGAAACAATAACGAAATCTCCGACTAGGTTTCCTCCATTTTTCTCATCTCTCTTTCGTCTATCATCCGTAGCTCGTTACGCTATGCAGAAGCCGTTGTTTCGTTTTCCCTGACTAGCGTACGTTCGAGTTCGGTATTTTTCGAGACAGGTAGGCGCGCGACTGCGATCGATTCCTCGTTCGTCTCGCGAGTCGGGGATCCCCCATCGAGGCAACTCGTCCTCTTTCCGCGATTCTCCTCTGTTCGCACGACACGCGGTCTGCAGGTCGATTTATAGCGCGTGTTTCTGCGAACGAGAGCGGGAATCGTTGGCAGCGTTCGCGCGTTTCTTTGATTGGCCGCGGAGGCCGCGATTGGTCGGAATAAAAAATGCTAGGCGGGTACGGTCGAGCGCGAGGCAACGCAGACAGAAACGTTTTTCATCTCGCACGGCAGTTACGATGACGACGCATTATCTATCGACGGCGTGGGTGTTCGTTCTCGCTCTGACAGACTCGAAAACGCATTATTAACACCGACGACCCTGGCTCTATGATTACGCGCATTAATAGCCGGATGGACGAACTTTGCTCGCGCTCCACGCTATTATTATTGCAGCGCGAATCGAGAGACACGATCGAGCGAAATCAAAGAGCGAAAAAAAGAGGCACGGGGGAGGGAGACCGAGGGTAGAAGAGAGTCGGATACCGTGGAATATCAAGCGGTCTCACCAGCTAATTTTTTTCGAAACGTTTGTTTACGAGGACTGTGGATCATGGTAAATGACAAGGAAAGCAGAGCTGCGCGCCTAACGCGGAAACGAATCCGCGTTAAAATATCGCTAAAGCGCGTAGCAACGTAACGATTTGTTCGTTAACGTCCAGAGGAATCCCTGGGAAAGCTTTGGCGAGCATTTCTCCATGTTTTCAACGGAACCCGACGATCCAAAGGCAGCATTTTGCGATCGTCGACGGTTATTTTCGATGCATCGCGTCCCGACCGAGGCGATATGCCATTTAAATATAATGTTTCGCGCGCAAGCGCGCATATCGTGCCTCGCTGCATACTCCTTTTCAAATTGCATATCAGGTACGATCGAGTGTTGCGAGTATACCAATCTTCCGACGATGAATAATTCATTGTGTAAATAATTCATAAATCACACTATAAGCTCGACGCACGGGGACCCCGAATCGTTCGAAAATTTCCGACCAGGTTCTTATTAATCGATCCCGTCGCTTTCCTTCGCGACCTTTTCGCTTCTGCGTGTCGATGGAAAATTTTACGCTCCGCCCCTGTAAACCTCGTTTTTCTTGCGATGTGACAGGTTCGCGACGTTTGTTCCGCGGCTCGCTGCAATGGAGATTCGCGAGGCACGCCGGCGATGGCAAATTATTCCATTGTTCGCGGCGAATTAGTTGCGTATGCCTTCGATAGCGCGTAATAAAACCAATAGTCGAGTCCAATTTGCTTCCTTTCGAGCATGCGTAGCTGAACGGATAACATAAATCGACCTTAACCCGAGCTGAAAATATTCCGACACAAATATTCCGTCAGCTGACCAATCTAAACATATTAAAAATAATATATAATAATATTTAATACGTTTAGATTGGTCAGCTGATGGAATATTTGTGTTGTCATCGGTAAATTTTCAGCTCGTGTTTTATTAAATAGAGGTACACGATCAACTAACTCGTATTTTAATCATACTCGGTGCCTCTCGACGTCACCTCGCTCCTCTTAATAAGTTTATCGCAATAAAAACGAAACGTTCGGCCAATGTTGATTCTCGCCGCGTTATTGGCAGTCCCTCGCGATAATACCACGAACACATCGCTCTGCAATGCGACAGGAATTCTTTACAGCTCGACAACTACATCGAGTCCCGGCGATCGCGCTTAAACATTCACGTTACGTATTCCATACCGTTCCGTTCGATCCGAGCCATAACGGAGACCTCCAGCCGCTCGAGGAAAATTCTCTGAACCGTGTTTTCGAGACAACCGTTTCTCCATCTCGCGAGTCGGTATTTTTCGACGGATGCAAAAATGTTTATTCCATATTCCGACCGCTGATGAAACGAGCTGTATTCCGCGATGTTTATATCGAAAATAGGTGAAATCGAAGCAAGGAAGGAAGGAAGGAAGGGTAGAAGATCGGAAAGAATGGTAATGGCATCGTGGTTGTTTGAGAAGGAGCGCGAAAGGGGCGTCGCGCCTGTTATATCCCGACGCATTAAAATATTTACGAATGTTGCACGGTCTGCGCGCGGAGTTGGAGCATTCGTCGTGAGCGTGGCACACGAGGGCGGTGTTGCGCGTGTACAAATCATGCAAAGAATGACGCGGCATCGGCTCCGCTCCCTCCCATCCTCGGGTCGAAACTCTTCTCCCTATCCTCTCCTTCTCTTTCCTTCGGGATGGTTCCGTATCACCTTCCCGTATGCATCGTAGGATTCGTGCGCGAGGCGTGGGGACGCGGGAGACCTCATGCTGCACAGCCCTCGATGCGTTCGTTGCATATTAACCGAGAACAACGCGCCGTATGCCCTTTCGTGAATCAGCATACCGCAAGTCACTCGCTCGTTTACCTGTCCGCCTGCTTGCTTAACCTACTCCGGCTCGTCTCCTCGAGTATCATCGACGTCTTCGATCGAACGGCGTCCTTTTTTCTGTTTCCCATCTCGGAGTTTAATTTTGCCGTTTTCGATCGACGTAAATCCGTACGGTTTCGTGACGTCGAACGTCCCGCGGAAATTCCTTCCGAGGGAGTTCATTTTCGCGAATTCCGAATCAAGCGTAGAAACGCGTGTTCTCGACCGTCTCCTTTTGCTTTCAGCAGACGTCGGACCTGGATACGCTGCTGTGTAGACAGGACCTCGACCGGCTGCAGAAACTCGACGAAGATGACCCGGAGAAAGACACGAGGGAGTCCTCGATGCAGATGGAGGATTTCTTCGAAGTCGGGGGGCCGGTGTGTCGGCCGCAGGCGAGTTTCGTTTCGGCGAGAAGTCAACCAGCTGGCAACGACGACGACGTGTTCCTCAGGCCTCCGCTCTGGGAGGACATCACCTCGAGTATTCAGAAGCTGGACCCCGAGAACGCGGACATGCTGGGCTCGCAGTCGCACGTCAAGATGGAAACCGACGACGTCGCGTCGCCGGTGCTCTCGCCAGTCGAGATCAAAACCGAGCCGCTGCCACCGCCTCCGACATTGCACCTTCTCGAGGCACCCGCCTCCAACCCCGTGCAGACGTTCTCGAACGGCCACCAGAACCCGCCGACCGTTCCTCAAGTCGTTCATCATCGAACCACCACGCCCGCCTTCAAAACCTTCCCTTCGAACAACAACAACAACAACAACAATATAAATAACAACAACAACAACAACAATAGTACCAATAATAACAATAACAACAGTAGTAATAATAACAACAACGACACGACGTCGAATCACCACGGTGGCGGGAACCAGGTCGGTGGCAGCGCGACGTCGCCCCTCTACGGCTCGATGACCAGGTTGATGTACATTTCCCCGCTGACGCCGCCGATTTCCGACCCTGGCTCGCCGATCGGGGCCCCACCGAGGCGGACGCCGCCTCCCCCTTATCCCCAGCCCTCCATCATGAATCCTGCTCACAGGATGCAGCATCCATCCATCAACACCAAATTCAACAGGCGAAACAACCCAGAGCTCGAGAAGCGACGCGTCCACCATTGTGATTTCATAGGTGAGTGTTCGCGTCTCTCATCCTCTACGAACCGCGTCCACCTCTAGTGTTCAACGCCCGTAAAATTTTCCTACGAGTAGAATTACATTAATATCAATTTATTTCAACAAATTCAAACGCTCGTATCTTTGGACTAATGCTTTGTTCGCGGGAAACGTTTGTTTTCGTAGACGTTCGTCGTGTACGTATCTCGTATCGGCAACCGATAGGCGAGATTGCATCGCGAATCGCGCGGCACGTAGACCGGGCATTCCCATTCGCGCCGGTAGCAAGCAACGCGTTTGCCTTAGCGACAAGCCGACCAAGATAGACAGGACCGACGCTCACGGTGCTCGTAACCGTTTCGTTTTGCAGGTTGTACAAAGGTCTACACAAAGAGTTCTCACCTGAAGGCGCACCAGCGGATACACACAGGTGAGTCGATTTCATTCGCCCCAAGCGTCCGCGAGATTGTCGGGTGGAAAAGCGGTTTTAGGGGTAAAACGGGAGGAGGCAGGAAAAGAAGGAACGGCCCGAGGTAATTAGGTATGTAGCTCATCTACGAAGCGAGACGAAGCGTTTGAAAGCGCGAGGTCGAGCACTCGGCGTGGGCAGGGCGCGGTTCCCGCAGCCTCTCCTTCTCTTCTCTCCGCTGTCTACCTCCGTTTAACCTTCGTTTCCGTCTCTCTTCTCTCAGCCTCTCCGTTTCTCTCTCCGTCTCTCCGCAACGTTTCCGTCTCGTGCTCGCGGTGTCGCGCAAAGGAGCCTCTATCATATGTAAACGTATAAGGAACGCACGAACCGTGGTATGCGACTCTCCGCGCCGTAGACTCGAGCTAGCGACCCACATCCTGTCCATATCCAAACACGCTGCACGCTAACACGCTCGTACCTACACCTACGTGGATTTATACACGGCGAGCCACCAAAGGGGTGTCTGACTCTCCGCGACGTCGACCTGCTCCAAAATAAAACTTTCGAGATACTAGGTGCGTGTGGAACCGAAAAGTCTGGACTTGCGATCGAGGAACTGCCCTTTCGGTTTAAGGCAGAGTTGGGCAAAACCCTAGGCTTCCAATAAATCTGAAGTTTCGAATCTTTTGAACATTTTCCAGAGAAAGAAACAAGACCAACACATCGGCAAACTTCAGATTTATTTAAAACCTAGGGTTTTGCCCGTCACTTTTAAAGGACGACCGCGATGAACGTCGTGGCGAAGCAGACGGCAACATATTTTCGTTCCAACTTTCAAACTTACGGTGCCCACTTTCGTCGCGCTGTATCACTCGGCATCTCCGTGCGAAAACGCGCCAATTACTCGAGACCCTTCCGCGAGATCTGGGGAAACTGGATTACCGCGTAAATTAGGATGCGATTTCGTAATTAGGTAGCTGGATAATTTCGAGAGTACAACGTTCCAGGCTAACAACCGTCGAGGTTACGAATGGATTAGCTAGTATTCGAAAATTTCATTAGACAAGATCCCACAGGTTTCATCCCGATTGGTCAACCCATCTCGACGTAATCGAGTAACATACATTTAAAAAAAGAAATATATACGTATGTCGAATTGAGTAACCTCCTCCTTTTCGAAGTCGGTTAAGGATTGTTGTAGTTAGGAATTTTAGCGGGATGGAACGACTGTACACACAGACACGATGTAATTTCCGATAATTAATTAGAATTTATTATAACTAGACTGCGGATCTTGATGCATTTATAGGAAATTTGAACGCGCAAGAAACTACAAAATCCAAATGATACGCAAAAATATAAAAACTATCGAAAGGAAAGTTCATGTTATAATATTTCCAGAATAAAATACATTCCTATTTAGGTTCAATTTTTATAGTCATGTTCGCGAAGATTTTATTTTGCATAAAGATCCGCGGTCAAATTATAACCTTTCGCTTGTACATATCAATCCGAATAACACTCGGGAGACGAATGACAAGTGAAATTAGCCGAATACAAAAATTCGTATACTCGTTTCGAATGTGTTCTCGACGGCGTATGCTTCATTCATGCTAAATCCAGTATTTAACTGTTGCATATACCAACGAAAATATCATTTACGTGGCAAACGTTTGATCTGTATCAAGAAAAATCGAAATTGCCCAATGTTCCTTTAACGAACGCGCGAATGGTTTCTTTGCCCCCAAGAATGCAGCCGCTCGTGAATGGGGAGAAAAAGAGCGACGAGGAGTATACGTGAGCATCAACACGCTGAATTGGTCCATTCAGGATGCGTTCCCGCTCTCCATCCATTGGCGTACTTCCTCCCTCCTCCCTTCCTCAACTCAACCCTTATACCAACCGCGAAACGTCCGCGCGTAAAACTACTCGTCGTTACTCGTCGTTACTCGTCGTTACTCGTCGTAACTCGCGAATTTCTATTGTTTCCGTTTCTATCGTCCGGACGTTTTCATCTCGGTTGTTCGCGTGAGCGTGCAGCATCTCGATTCCTCGAGATTCGAACGGGCACATTCACCGAGGAACGGGCACGAGAGAGCGACGGTTCGCGCGAAACGCGTACGCTCGGCGTCGAGAAGAACGCGATCCGCGATCCGTCCACGCGTGCCCACTCGGCAGCCTCTCGCGGAATGCCAGCCAGAGGCATCTTAAGTGCGATGTACCACTTTCGAATTGATACCCCGAGGTTTTGCGGTGACCCGCGATCGCGCATCGCCCCGCCCCGTCGAACGCGATGCACGCAACGCCCGATGGAAACTGGTTAACCACGGTAAATTTCGACGTATCCGCGCGAGCACGGCTCTCGATCGAATCGATGCCTATCCGGAGAGGAAAATACGGATCGGTTAGACTTTGGCATTGTTGAATATATCTTAGACTAATCTGTATCTTCTGTACTGTACCATCTGTACTGGAATATAAAGCGTTAATATAATATAAAATGGTATACGATATAAAGAACGAGGACGGCGAGTAGAGATATCCGTTTTCGTAGTCACGCAGGGTTATAGAGGGTTAATTATCGCCGCGTGTTTGGTCGATAATAAAAGTCTGGCGCGTAAATCTTAACGAGCTACATTAATTGCGAATCAAGCTTTACGGTTGGCCTATCCACCTCTCGCGTCCCTCTTCCGTCAGGTTTGACGACGGTCTGAGAGTTCGCGCGTGTCTCGGTCGGCTCTTTGACCGAGAAACGATTATCCATATTTTTTTTCTAAGCTCGTCTCGGATGCGAAGTAATCCGTGGCTACTTGCGAAAGTATTTGCTTTACTTTGTGAAAAGTGTTCGACGATTAAATTTGGCGCGTACCGATGCAACGAGTCCAAGCTTGTTCGAAGAGGAAACAGTCGTGGAGAACGGCGCAGATTTTTGAATCGGATCGGTGAATGGCGATGGGAAAGCCAGCGACGTAGTTAGCGGGCGAAGAGCCTTAGGCACGTGGCGCTCGTCTTGAATGAACCAAACCGAGCCGAACATAACCGCCCCACGGGATATACGTCTCGGCAGAACACCTCATTCACCGTCCGACCTCTCGCGCGATGCACCTCCGTATCTCGTCTCATCCCATTCCACCAATGGACCATCGGAGAAAGAATACCGCTCGATCGCTCGTAAATCGTGTAACGTCCACGATGGTGCGTCTATATCCAAGGATCGCTCGGACCCACGAGTGCGAACGAACGTCGATCGTTTCTCGATCAACGCGACGATATCGCTGTGCGCTTAGTATTCCGCTGATACACCCGAATGCGTTATACCACGCGCGTGGTGTACAACGTCGCGCGATTTTTAATAGGGAAATTTCGTGCGCGTTGACCGCGTCCAGGGTTTCGCTCGAGACAACCTTCAACGATATCATTCTCTTCTTCTTTACGCGGTCGGCTGCTGTTATCGAGATATCCCGCTAAAACTCGAGATGCTGCGCGTCTTTACGCTCGACCTTTTTGTTCCAAGCATTTTCCGTGCCTGAGGCCAACGGCGCCTTAACGATCCTTTCGAGGCTATTTCCCGACGCGGTACGGGTAAAACAGAAACATCCTCGAAGCCGAAAGCGAAACAGCGCGCGCAGAAGTTTCGAAAAGCGAAAAGGTTAACGAGCCGCATTGACGCGCGTCGTACATTACATCGACGTATTAAATTCTCCTTGCATCGCAGCTCGCGTTGAAACACTCGAGGGTCTGGGAAACCCTTGAAAGACGAGCCGTACGTGGGCTGAAACGCACGCGTACACCGTTCGAGACAATGCTCGCAGGCGCCCATTCAACTTTCGATGCTTTCGTACTTCTCGTCGACTATTTTAGACGATTAATTTTACGCTTCGACGAAATACTCGTTCGGGCATCGAAGTCACCGCGGAAAGACGCGCGAACCGAACGCGTAACGAGGAGATGGATCGCCTTTAAACGCGTCCAATAAATTTGGGTAGCGGTACAGATTGGTGCGGATAATTTTAATGACTAGGTCGTAAATAGACTGCGGATCTTTATGCGAAACAAAATCCTCGCGAACGTGGCTACAAAAATTGAAATTAAATAGGAATTTATTTTATTTTGCAAATATCGTAACTGTAAAGGAGAAATCCTTTCATCCTTGTCCCATTATCATACCGACTACACCGCTAGATCTCTGAAACTATTACTTTGTTTTACTTTGTTTTGTTTGTCATTTTGTTCATGATTTCACTGTTTAAAATAAAATCCACCTGTTTACAGGACATCTTCGTATACAATTTAAACTCTTACATAACACGAACTTTACTTTCAATCTTTTTTATATTCTTGCATATCGTTTGCATTTTGTAATCTCTTGGACGTTCAGATTTCCTACAAATGCATAAAAATTCGCAATTTAATCACGAATAATTACCTTCGAGCATCTTTTCCCATGCTTCTTAAAATTGTTCTCGAGCCCGCTAGCATCGCCAATCCCAATCGAATGTGTTACTTCTTCGGTTCGGCAATGACCCTCGACGATCGAGGAATTGCTCGCGGTAACGGGTTCCGGGTTCGCGGTGGATGGTCTGTTTGAAAAAAAAGCGTGCTAGAGTCGCGATTCGCGACGAGTGTCGATGCACGTACGAGTATAGACGCGTGGCGAGTGGTACATTCGCAGGAGGTCAGAATCTCTCTCGCATCATGGGAGGAACACGCAACGGAACGTATATACGCTGTGGTACACGCGAACACAGCCGAACGATTGGCACGTAAGTGAGGAGAGAAGTCTTCACGGTGTGCGGTTGTGCGCGGGCGCGGGCGCGAGGCGAGCAACATTCCTGTTTCATCCACACTTCCAACTTCGGCATCCTTCTACCGTGTCCTCTGCCTCGCTATCGCGTTGCCTGTTTTAAAATCCGGCCGATTAAAATCCACTTTTTGCAAGGATCCCGCTGTTCCCCTCGATCGCGACGAACAGCTTTGCGCGCGCTTTGCGACAGTATCGCGCCACCGAATGCCGCTCGGCG